TACTCCAGTGTTCCGATGAGTTGAACGGAAAAGCCAAAACGATTGCTCGTTTCTGATTGCTTCGGTTCTGGTGAGTGTGTATCTAGTGTGATTCGAACTCATGTCGTTTGTATTGGGCGTTTTTTATTTCCCATGTTGGCTACGCGTAATATGCAACCACTTCCCCGTTTATTGTGATTTGAGAGTGTTTAATGATGTCTTCCTTGCCCGTCACGCCATGACCCAGTTTCAACCACACGGCCATTTGCAACAAGTGCGTGACCCTCGGCGTCACACGACTGACTATATGATCGTTCTGTTCAACTGTTAAGCTAGGATTTATTACCGTTATTATCATTATATTGTCACATGATTTGTTTTACCTTATGTGTAATGTCTTAAGTATCTTTATTGTAATTTGTATATACCAATTCGTATATACCGAGGAAACGACCCCGATTGAAGGTCATGTATTTTGTGATGTCACCAATTCGTGTGTAGGTACGGCTTCTAGACCCGTGCCCTTTTTACCTTGCCCGTACCATCAAAGATGGAAGGGAAAGGTATATTAAGGGAAAAATTTTGTCCGGCATTGTCGTTGTTGTTGTCGTCGTCGTCGTCGTCATCGTCGTCGTTAATAATTGTTATTGTGTGCATAATAACTTTACTAATTTTATTCCAAACTTCATCAAACTTGGTCACCTTATTCATCAGTATAAAGTCTTCCCTGAGTTTGAACAACAGATGTCCTGTATGAAAATATCATGCAAAAATTGAGAAAATCTGATAAAATATTTTGACTGTTTCTACTTGACTGATCACTGGTGATACACATCAAAGGTCACTGATGTCAGTGGAAATATGCATTGTTGTATGTGTTCAATGAAGCAAATGATTTATCTTGTAATTTATCTCAGAATCCCATACTGGGTTTCAAAACCAACTCATGGAGAGATTGCACAGTCTGATACACATTTGCAAACCTACCAATAAAATCTTTACAGAAAACAAGATGTCAAAAAATCAATATAAGCACTCATATGAACTGGGTGCCAAACTTTGATCAAGATCTGAAGCTGATAGAAAATCTGTTTAGTTCAAAGTTATCAAATCAAAAACAATACATAAAAAGCAAAACATTTCATCCACATTTTAAAAAGAAAATTATTCTAAAATATATGTATTCTGTATTTGACAAACAGTTCATTCGACAAATGAAAACTCACAGAAATATGTTTCAGCTATTAGAACAGAATGATAGAGTTTTTATAATATAGGTTTAAAAACGCACTTCAAAGATTGCAGTGTTTGAAGATG